AGTTCAAGCGCAATACTCGCGTTGATATAAGTTCAAATCGAGACTCAAAGGTCTCCTAAGAAGATTATGATAAGATCATGTTTATGAGAATATCTACTCTTGATTTAAGACTAATCTTTTTTTTTTCCGTACAGCTCGAAGTGGAAGTGGACGGAAATGCGTGGGCGGAAAATCCCGTCTCGCCGTCGCTAAATCCTTCTCGTGCGCTTTTAATTTTTAACCGAGCAGTCGATCAATTCGACGCGTTAATGAACGCATCGACGAGTAGAAATCGAACGGTTCGTCGCGCGTCGACGGTTTAATTTGCGCGACGAAAAGCAGAAACAACGGGGAAAAAAGTCAAATGGGAAGTCAAGGGGGAGAAAAAGAGCCGGACTCCCGCGACTCGCTCGAGCGAGTCGTTCGACTTAAGCGAGCCCGTCGTTATCGAACGCGCCGAGCGTTTATTTCATTTCACTTAGGATTTACTTCGTTTGTCTTCCATCCTTCCCCGTTCTTCGTTTTCATTCATCCTCGCCGGGTCTTACTTTTTTATTTATTCCTTTTATTTTTTTACTTTTCTTCCTTTACTTTTATTTACTTCTCCCCCGTTTTTTTCGCGACACTCCCCCTCCAATATTCACATCGCCATTTGAACCGACGGCGGAAAATCGAGGCTCGCGTCTCGTTTATTTGCCTCGTCTCTTTTGCATTTCCGCCGCCTTTATTTCCGGCGCTCGACTTCACTCCGACTCCGTGCCGCAAATAAACGGCAGCTGTGCGATATCAGAAATTGTCACGGTTCTCTTTTCGCGTTTCCGGCCGATTAAGCGGCGCAACGGCTCTCTCTCGCGGCTTCGAGTGATTTCGCGCGCAAAGTACGCACGTACTTGCGATCATCTTCGTCGCCGATCGAATAATCCCAATCGAGAGCCACCTGGCGAATAAACACGGCAAATAAAATTGCATCGAAGGTCGAATCGTTTCCCGTAATCGTGCGGAGAAATACAGCGCTTCGAGCTTTACGGGCGAAAAATTTCCACGTAAATCCCTTTGTCTTGCTTCCTTGCACGATTTCGCACGAGAGGACATCCCGGTAAGCAGGAAATCGTTTATACAACGTTATCACAATGATATTTCGTAACGTGTAACCTTTTCAAATACGTAGTCCTTAATGTTGTACACAACGTTACTGTTAACAATAATATTTGACCGAAACGTTAAAAATAATGTTTCTATACCATAATTTCTACGCTATAATTCTGATATTTAAATATATAATAAATTATCAAGCAACAGTTTAAAAACATTTATAAGATATTGTGTCAAAATGTTGATAAAATCCGCATGAAATCAATGTTTTGAAAAATTTATTTGACGTTTCTTACTTACCAGGTCATCCGTCTCACACCGAGAGAAAAAGATTTTTCTCTCTCTCGCACGTCATACACGTCGTTAGGTACAACTCATACCGCGTGTTTCCCCAAACGTGAAAATTCGAAACTTCCGATAGTTCCCTGATGGGGGGGGGGGGGGGGCAAATAGATTCTCGTTAATAACAGATTTACTTTTCCGCCTCTTTCTCTCTCTCTCTCTTCGAGCAGCGAGGCAAGCCGAAGGATGTTTTATTCAATGTGCCGGTCGCACGCCGAGCTTTTCATATTGACGACACTCGATTACATCGATAACGAGATTTCGCGTATAATGACTTATGAACGCTCCCCATAAATGTGGAATCCTTCTCATACTCGTACACCCACACGTGTCTTCTCGATGGAAGACGAAAGATAAGAATGGAATAATAGAAGACCGTAAAGAAATGTTGTAGAGTGGCAAATCGATCGGTGGATCTCCGAATGTTCTCAGAATCTTCAGAATTTACGCGTTCCGCTAGAGAGAGGTAACAAATAATAATAATAATAATAATAATAAGGACGAGGATAATATTACACATATCCGAACTTTTTCGGAGCTCTTTCGGAATTCGATTCTGCAGATCTCTTCGCGGATCTCTCCTCGGGCTCGAAGATACTCGAATCCTTCGCGAAACGGGCCTCGATTAATTCGAGCTTTCGCAGGAGCGAGCGCAAGGAGGATTAACCGTAATACCCGCCGATCGATCGGACAAATCTCGCGATAATTCGGTACGGAAAATTGAGACGCTGCAAATGGGGATAATTATCGGGCGTGAATGCGTCGGATTCGCTGCTGCATGCGCGACGCGCCATCAATGCCATACATCATTTAGCCGTGGCAACATATTTCGCTTCGCGCTGAACGCGCGAATAATATCAAGCGGATACATCGCCGGCGTGTCTGCCGTTGTATTTCACGATAATACATCATTAACATTGAAATATCTTAATTCATCCGCCGACGAGCGGATTTATTTTCACTCCCGTGCATAATAAACGGCAAAAATCCGCACGAACGCTCGGGGCGTTTTGCGCCTGTTAATTAAGCGCTAATTAGAGGGCGAGCGCGGGTTGTCGGGCGATGTTGAAAACGAGATTTCGCGTTGTTAGCGAACTCCTCGTTCTCGATACTCCGTAATCCCGTGTCTCCGTAGAGGAAACGTAAGAGGAAGAAAAACCGTGCAGCGTTGCAAAATCGAGAACGTGAAAGAGCGATCGATACGTGGAAACAGCCGCCACTTTCCGTACCGCAAAGAGATTCGTTATCGCGAAGATACGCGCGTATCATAAAGTGCGCGTCCGTAAAAGGCGTGCGGGCGTGCGATATACGGCGTTATCGATACTTTTACGGGTCGTGAAGGGTTAACGTATCGATGCGCAACAAAGTGTTGCTAAATCAAAGGCCGTGTATTTGCTGGAAGGGATGCGTTAGAATGAAAATATCACCACCTTTCCGAAAAGAAAACTTTGTTTTTCTAATCACTTGGAACGAAACCTCTTCGTGGAAAACTCTGTATTTCCACATATTTCTATACATATGTACATATATGTGCGTGTGTTATATATATTTAACGCAGACGTTGCACTCGAGGCACGAAATAGGTCAGTTAGGCGAGGACAAAAGAGACGTTAATCACCCGATATCGCGAAGAATAGGCGGCGGCGAATCCACGACGGCGGAAACCTACATTGGAAAGAGGGACAATTATCCGAAACAAGCCAGCGTAAATGGTGGGCCGGGCGGGAATTCCAAAAGCGAACGATCGCCAAACCCCGAGCACGACGTCCGCCTGCGCCATTAACGGTTTTTCGCCGACCGCATCTCCGGTCCGGTGTATTCAAAGGGCCTTCCTTTGAGGGCGATCGGTACTTCCTCCCTCTTCGTAGCAACAAGTTCGCCCTGCCTATCGTTATTACTCGAACACGCGAGATAAGAACGTTACTTCCGGCACGTGAACGCGTATGCGTTCCGCTGTCTCGCTGAAACTTCCCGCAAACGGGAAAAGTTTCCTCATTCGCCGGCGAGAAATTACCGCGCAGCCCTCTGTAATCTTCAATCGCCTGGCGACCGAAGGTCCCGGCCAGCAGCGTGGACGTGTTTTGTTTCCGCGAGGAGGGATGAACGACGGGAAAATCACCGTAGAGTCAGCCAATTCTGAAATGTTCCCTCTGCCTCCGCGTTAACCGCTGAATCCCGGTTTTTCGATGTAATATAACATAAATGAGACCGCGAGAGAAGAATCCGACCTGGACTTGATGAACAGAGACGGTTCAGCCGAAAGGGAAGTTACGTCCCAATAAGACCGAATCCTTTTCACGAGATCTCACAATGAACAACTTCCCCTTCGGCCTCGCTTCGCCTTCTCCCCGCGGCATTGATTTATTTCCCCATCCGTTATCTGCGGGCTGTACTCTGACCCCGGTGAAAAAGCCGACCGGAATTCCGAACGCGAATGCAAACCTAAGAATAAGCCGAGCTTACCAATCGCCGGTGACATTTCGCTCATTTATTCTCGCGTGTCCCTTTAATTATAGCCACCATTAAATTAAATTAATTTCATTAGCGAGATGTGTGGAGATTTTATCCTATTAATGCTTCTTCTCCTTTTCGTTTTGTACGGGATTTTCCATCAAGAGATTTCATTTTAAATTATTAGAAAAACAAAAAAAATTTTTATTTTTTTATTTTTGACAAAGTAATATTTTTATTCCAGTGCAAAGCACAGACTGTACGATTAAATGTGGGACAGTTGATCAGACTGGCCGAACCGGGGTTTTTGCATCACTAACTTGACCGGAACGCTGAAATTTCTTAATCAGGTTAACAATTATCGGACGAGAAGGTGCTATCATTACGATCGAAAGCGGCAGGAACTTTACAAATCGTTTCCACAAAATTTCCATTCATTCTGTAGCGGATTTTCACACAATTTCTACACGTTGCCGAAGAGTACATCGTTCCATTTTCGTCCACCTATACTTTTCGCCTGTCAGCTGCTGAGGAATGACAGTTCCATCCTTGATGGGTTAAAAATGTACGAACTGTGAAACGAAACCTCTCAATGGAAAGTTACACACGTACGCGAAGCTCGACTCGAAACTCGGAAATGACATTATCGTTCTTCGTCGCAAAACGCGCTCCCAGCAAATGCCGGGATGGATCGAGATCCGCTCCGAAATTAGATTTCCAACACAGTCGACGCGATATTTGCGAACAACGCACACCTCGTTTCGGCACTCGCGCCCGCTTTGTGCGGCCCCCTCCGTTAATAAATAGATGCGTGCGCGCACGCCGGGTATTATTGCGTCACGTGCACTTCGCGCGCGAGCCAACGTTGTTTCTGCAACGATGTGTATTGATTGCAACAGCGGTAATTTGGCTAATAATTGCGCCGTTGTTCGCGCAACGTCATTCGCACTACGCCCTGACAAAATATACCGACGCGTCGCGTTTCATTGGAACGATTTTGCGGATTTCAGTGACGAGGGGGTTAATTAGGTCCGTCCGGGCCTGTTAAAAATCGTGCTCGCGATGCGATTGCAACTCAGGAGAGAAAAAATAGTTCTATATATATATATATATTAGAGGAAGACGATCAGACTCACGTGATTCACTATGTCCGGATAGTTCGGGTAGAGGAAGAAGGCTGCGATGAGGTGGGCCACCGAGAAGACGACTCCGGCGATGCAGGCGTGCCGCAGCCTGATCGGCAGGAGCGCGTAAGCCGTGTAGATGAAGAAACAGACCGCCAGGGCGGCCGCGAGGGGTCCTCCGGTTTGAAGGCTCGGTCTGGTCGAGGACGAGTCGCCGGGAACGGTAGCTTCATGTGCCAGGTGAACGCTCAGTGTCACCTGCAGGGCCAGCAGGGTAACCAGCACCGCGCCGCTCACCCCCGCCAACCATATTTCGTTCATACCCGGCCTAGAGATGGCCGCCACCAGAACTGGAAGCAGAGAGGCGGGGATTTTGCACGGGCGAGGTGTAAAATTCTCCGGCCTCGCGTTGCCGGTTATCGTGAGGCTCGGTAAAAAAAGTTGAGTGGAAAAATGTCAGGGGAAAAACTAGTCGCCGGACAGAAACCGGACGGTTCTTTCACTGGCTCGAATTCATTAGACAGCAGCCGTCCGGAAAGTGTCTGAAAAATATCATTTCTCGGCCAGTTGCTTGCCATAAGTTATTAAAAAAAAAAAATAGTGAGTTAATAACGGACAGTTTCTATTCAGCGGAAACTCTTAAAATTCTGGCTAGTGTTTCTTGGCCACTTCCTGGCCGGAAACTAAGTGCAGTAATAAACAAATGAAAATGGGCAAAATCTTATTAGGAATTGGTAAGAAAACTGGCTAGTTTTATCATTCGGTTATTGTTCAGAGCAAAAGTCTCTCAAACCTGTAAGTTTTTGGCCAGTGAAACCGATCGGAGACTAGATAGTTGGAGAATTACTGGCCAGTTATTGGCTAGAAACCGGTTTAATTTCTATTCGGGACTGAGAGAAAGGAAAATATGAGCTCACCTGTATAAACCACGATGCAGCCTGCCAGGGTGAACGCCAGGGAGAGATTCTCGGATCTCTGCAGCTGCGCGTAGAACGACAGGTGACTGTTGGTCAGTTTCAGCTTGAGGACGAATAATAGGCCCAACGCGAGCACCAGGCCGGCTAGTAAACCGAGCACATGCGTCATGTTGCTTTGATTCATGCGCAGGAAGTAGCGCTGGTAGAGCATTTCGACCTGAAAAATAATGACATATTCGCCGCGCGTAAATGTCACTGGAGGATCCCATTGAGGTGTCGCGTATCCTCGTCTATCGTTTCCATCGTCGACTCACGAAATTCAACACGAATCTGTCAGAATTCATCGTCTCTTAACTCTCACGCAAGGGTTGACTTTACAAAAATGAAATTGATTAATTGTCAATATTTCAAGCACGGACTTTCGGTCCGTGCAATATTTTTCGCCCTAAAGTGGTAAGAATTAATTAAACCGAATAAATTAATTCTCGGATCAACTTAAAGTTACTCTAAAGACAATGCTGAGGAATAATGAACGCGCGGAATGAAATGAAAACTCAGGACAACCAATTAAAAACTGTTTCTTAACAATATCGAAGGGAGTAAAGGAGTTTCAGTCGAGTTCGCGATCCATTAAACTGGTAATGAATGACAGCATTAAATAAATGAACTTTATTACGTACGAGCCGGCCCGAATGAACTAATGAACCGATAACCTGGCTCGTAATAAAGTTCATTTATTGCGTGGTGGCCGGATCATACAGACATGCGTAGTAGATCGAATCGTGCCGATCTTACTTTCGTCGGGCATCCAACTTATCCATAAAAAACTCAATAACTTCGAAACGGCTTATTTAAAGTGGATAAAATTATAGTGTTTTGAAAAGGCCTGAAGAAAGGTCTGCAAGAATATATGCAATAAAAAGTAGGCAATTCTGTTTAAAAAATCCAAGATGACTTTGTCCCGATTTTGGCGACGTCACTCAAGGTCAAACTGGTAAGACCGGTAAATGTATTCTTTTCAAGTCCTGTAACTATTTTTTATCTGAAACAGTTTTCTACAAAACTTATATTTTTCGAGATATTTCGGGCTGACGGAATATTTGTTCTTCACCCTATGTTTATATGTATCACAGCCGATTGGTCCGTCACGTTTATCCCGGAAATGGAAACTGCGCGAGATATCGTTGTACAAAGTCCGATCGTGATGCTGCCTTTCGATCGTCCCACTAATTGCTTTCGGCCGCGCATGTGGCAAAAATCGACGACAGTCACGAATATGCCCGAGATGCGCCATTTTTATTTTCCTTTTGTTGTTTTTTTTGTGTGCACTGTTATTTTCGGCAGGAATGTGAAACGTAAGGCAATTTCTTTTTTCTTTCCGCTTTTCCCAGGGGAAACGCGATATTCGCGACCGGTGTATCCTCCTTTTCCCCTTTTGCAACCATCGTGATAGTCAGGCAACAGTTGCCCAATCCTTTGTGACCGGCATTTATTCTCAGCCTTTTACAGCGGCAACATATTTTAACTTCATGTTGCGCCATGTCTTGCTCTAGCGCGAACTTTACGTGAAATATAATCAATATATATATATATATATATATATATATATACGTGTATATGTATCAACATAGTTCTGATAAAACGGGAAATTTGTAATTTGTTTGTAATTATATTCGTGATGTTTGCATATTTTATAATACGATACGGGACACGAATATCGCACGTGGAAGAAATACATATATGTATCATCCTGTATTATTACGTGAATTCACGTGGTCTCTTGCTTTTATACGACGATCGGTTCCTTTTAACGAAACATAATTAAACGAACATAATTAAACAACGAAATACGAAGTGGAAGCACGAAAAAGGGAAGCATGATAAAAAATAATGATATAACAAAATTATGATATAATTATATCAAAGTCGCCATTATATGCGAGAGAGAGGGAAAGAGGGAGAGGAAGAAGAGGGAGGAAGGGAGGAAAAGAGGGAGGGAGAGAAAGAAGGGAGAGACAGAGAAGCGGAGCCAGATGTATATTGCCGGCGAACAACAAATAGGAAATCCCCGAAGAGATCGAGCAAGCGAAGGTCTGAAATTTATATCATCACAATGGTATCTATTTGCAGAGACTCGCTCGCAGACATATCACATTACTGCAATGTTGGATTTTGCGCGGTGCACCGCGTCGTATGTGCTGTTGCTACTGCAATTTGTACGTCCTGCGAATTGGTATTCATGAAATATTCCCCGGGCCGTCTATCGAAAATGCAACTTAATCAAGTCTCGAATAACGCATTCGTGAGACAGCGAAGGAGGATCCAACCTGCTTTTACTTTTGCGCGCTTAATAATACATAACGCACGCTCCAGCTTATTTCCGATTCAACCCTCTCTCTCTCTCTCTCTCTCTCTTTTTCTTTGGAAGGAAATAAACGTATAGTGCTCTGAAAGGGTCTGAAAAATGATTATAAGGACGTGCAATAAAAAGTAGGGAGTTCCATTTAAAAAATTCAAGATCACCTCTTCCTGACCTCGGCGATACCACTCAAGGCCAGGCTGATAAGATCGGTAAATTTTTCTTAACACAACTACTTTTATCTGAGAGTTTTCTATAAAACTTGTGTTTTTCAAGATATCTCCGGGTCCCGCCATTGTTTTTTCCTCACCCTGTATAATAATAGTCGTGTCAAATCGTGCTCCGCATAAAAGGGTATAGTTTTGTGGGAAAACTGCGCCGTGGTAGTGTCATCTGCAGCATGTAGGAAGAAAATAAAAATGATGATTAAAAAATCGAATAAGAGCTGGAAAAGCTCCGAAAGAGAGCAGGGAGGAGCCCCGGCGGAACGACGAGGGACGCGCAGAGAAGTTATAACGAAGTGACAAGGGTGAGGAAGAAGAAAGGAAATATTGTAATCGTCCAACCCAAGGTACAAGCGGAAAAGTGAAACCGCTGGGAAATTAATAAAAGAAAAGGTGGACATTAGGAGTATGTCAGTAGGGATAACGAGGCTGGAGAAAGGAAAGCGAGGGAACGGTTATACCGGTCTGTGAGGCAGGAGGAGAGATGGAAAAGTTGAAGGGCGTAGTACAGGAGTTGGGTGAGCGAGAACTTCAAAATTACCTGAGTCGCGGAGAATAAAAAATAGTTGATGATGTCGGTGAAGAAGAAATGAAACTGGACGATGATAAATTGATAGCTACGATGAAGAAGCGCGAAACAAAATTCAGGGGGGGGGGGTGAAGAATTTCGAGTGCGGATTGTGAAGAGGATGTGGTAAAAGGCGGGTTGAATGGAAGAAGAAATGAAGGTTCGTTAATAATTAATTCATAATTAATAATTATAGTTAATAATTAATAAGCATTCGTCAATGTTAAAAGATGTGTGAAGAAAGGGATCGAGAGAGGCTGCCGTGGCAGTCGCGGTTTGCCCGATCGATAAATATAGCGGGGTTGCAGCTCGATTTTTCCCCCGCTTATCGACGGTGAGTGAGACCTTATCGGAGCACGAGCGGAATTACGAGCGGTAATATCGTCGAGCGCGATCAAGAAAAGCCTTGTGGCGACCGTCGGTCGTTATCAGTAGTCATAGCAATGGTAGCAAAGAGTTTCCCCGCGCTCATTTATCGCACACTCGGGTCATTTAATATTTTAATCATCCGCCGTGAAACGCATTCGAGCGAGGAGATGTCCTCGTGCGACAACGCAACGTCCTGTCGCTGTGCTGCGAACGCACAGCAATGGGAATTCGGACTCGGAAAAGCTCCGCTCACTTTTCCCAAGGCAGAGGTAACACACGCGATTCTCGAGAGCATCTGCGATTAGCGACGTCGCGGGATACACGGGGTTTTCCATCAAGAGGCTTCGATTTGAATCTCGCGCAATTATGCGAGATTTCCTCGATTCCAAAAGTGACCGTTTGTAAAACAAGATCGAGGCGGCCATTCATCAGATATCGCGTGCCACACTTAATCGGTACGGTCTGTGCTTTGCATTGGAATTAAAAATATCGCCACTTTTTCAACAAAGAACGACTGTTTTTCTACTAATTTGAAATGAAACCTCTTACTGGGAAACCCCGTAGTATTTCGCCGGCGAACTTTTCAATCATGACATAATTCTTAACCAAGTCGACGATGGCGGGCAATCGAGCGCCAGTTTGATCACATCTCTCGGTCATTCTCTTTTCATTTTCGCCATGAAAGTCTCCAAACGCCGCCCACGAAATAATAATTTAACGTAACGGGTCCTCTCGTCTCACGGTTGAAAAAGAGGAGAGGAAGAACAATTAATATCTGTATCATCCCGGCGAAATGTGAATAATTACGCACGTATGACCCGAGTATATTCCCATGGGCGATGTATAATTTCGCGGAAAATTTCCCTTCATTTGCATACATTTGCACCACACCGGCTCCCCGAAGAAATATTTTTCTCTCTCTCTCCCGCCCGCGTGCTCTCGCGTTATAGACACTCAGTATTTCTAACGTGATTCCTTCGAGAGAGAGAGAGAGAGAGAGAGAGAAAGAGAGAGAGAAGGAATTCTCTTCTTATCTCGTGCTCTCACACTTCCACCCCGCCTATCTATATATATACACACGCTATATATATCTCATATATTTCACATTTTACAATATAATTCTTGCTTGAAGTGAAATTCTCCGTTACGACGCGACTGCCGTGTTGGGAATCTGCCTAATTCACTCATTATCGTTTAACACGGCTTCAGAGTGGTCTTCCATCGAGAGATTTCCATTTTAAATGACTAGAAAAGCAGTTTGTTTTTTTGAAAGAGTGATATTTTTGCGAGACATCGCCGAGAATATCGCACGAGCGAATGCGATCAAATCGTGTCGCGCGAGAGAGAGAGACGCGGTTTCCACCATGGGTTTCCCCTCCCTCCCTCCTCGTGAACTTGCCAACCCTCGCGCCGGTATCCCAGCTTCGACTCTACGTGACCAGACAATGCGGGTCGTTTCCCGCGGGAATCGCTCGAGGGAACATCGACGAGTCTCCATTTCGCAGTTATCCCGTCACGTTCTCGCGACACAATCGTGTAGTAATTCTGTATTCGCGGGTCGTCGCCTCGGAATCTCAACATGCGAGACGCCGGTGACGCCGACGTTGCTTTCTCAATTTTCGAAAACGTCGTCCTTGTGCGTCTACCACGGATCGACCTTCCCATCGATGTCTACTGTGAAGTTCGATCTCGCTTTCCCGGCGCAGAATCGTATCTCCTATTGTATTGCGGTCGACGATATCGCACCTGATCCCTATAAGCGCGTAATATTCTTAGAATATCATACGAATGTTATTCGATATCGAAATAATATTCCTGTAGCATTTTAAGTATTTCTTTTTTTTTCCTTTTTTCAATGTACCGTCGCGGGAACGAATTCACTCTAATCGAATGAAACATTCACTAACTACGGAATCCATCTCAAGCTCGAAGCATTTACTCTTGCGATTCCGCGTGGCAGTATTTTCACTGCCGTCTCGAGCGAAAATACCACCACTTTTCACCCGGAATCAGACTCCACCTTGGGAAATTTATAGAGCAGGGATTGGGACCGGTATGAAAAATACCGGTTTTTACATCGCCATTTCTCGACATTATACGACGATTGGACAACATTGATTTCCATAGATATCGCATATATTTGTAATATTAACATCGCGCCTGCTGTGCGAAGGGGCACATGTACGAAGGGATCGATCACGTATTGTTGCGAGGAGGATGCAAAGTAGCGTCGATGCAACGCCAGTTAGCAATATTTATCGATCGGAGGAACTGGATAAGGCGGAGGTTTACCCGAACGGCCGTGTCACAAGGAGGCAGAACGGTGCAGGACGACGTGGCCACCGGTGGCGGTTAATTGATAAGAATCCGGGCGCGAGGCCAAACTTCGACGACCCGGTTATTCAAATGACCCGCTGATCGCTGAGCCAGCGATCCGCCTTATGCAACATTCAAGAGCCGGCGGACATAACGCTATTAGCCGGCGTTGCTGACAGTGAAATTACGTGTTTCGCCGGAGGAAACGCCTCGTCCTCCGGGGAGGAATAATAACGTAGAAAAATAAAAAGAAAAAACGAAGATTCGCAATGAAAGTATCGCATCAGTGAGATTCACGAGAATCGACTTCCGAGGCTCTCGAGAGAGGCTGCTTCTCTCCGCTGCTCTCGAGATGCGAGATGGAGAGTAATTAATGTTCGACGGTGCTGCAACTACGAGGAGGGTCAGAAGGGGGGGGGGGAGGCGTTGAGAAATTCGCTTACCGGAGGCTGGCCGCGCGACGCGGAAAAACCCACCTGAATAAAGCATGCGCGCGTTTCCCGTCTCCGCCGGCAAACCCGTTAAAGCGTAGGGAAGCGAGAGAAGGGAAAGAGAAGAAAACAGAAAAATTGCAAATACGCGGCAAAGGCGCGAGGATATACTCGGGGGATATTCCTTCGGCGATCTTCCGAGCCCGTCTTTCTGAAACAACAGCGTCAACGTTTCCGTTTACGCGCATAAAAGTCCGCTGCGTTTGACGGCCGGAACGTTTCGATATGATACGGTAAAGGATGGTGGATAAACGCGTTAACCGTCATCGTTCATGCCGCGGCCGGGTCTACTCGCTGCCTCGCGGGCACCAGGATGCTACGAAGGAAGGGGGAAGAGGGGGGGAGGGGATGTTGCGTTTCCGTCGTCGTTCGAAACTGACGATTCGACCGCGAGCACACCGGCACCGGAAATTGCAAAATTGTTCCCGTGCGAAATTCATGCTGCCGATGGAAGAAGAAGAGGAGCCTCCGCCCGGAAGTTTCGGGCTTGAAACTGTTGCGAAGTCCCAGTCCGCGCAGCAACTTTATGGCACGGCGCGGATTTCCGAGGCCCTGGGCATCAACAGCCGGAACTTGTTGCGTGGTTTTGTGCCGCCGGCTAGTTTTGGTCTCCCTCTGTCTCTCTCTCTCTCTCTCTCTCACACACGCTCTCTTTCACCCCGGCCGTCTCCCTTCCGCTTCCCCCTTCCCGCCCTATCGAGAGTTCGCGAACTCTGACGTATATTAGTACTCCTACGCAATGCAGTGCACGTCATTCGGTCGCATCGATACGCTCGTCCGTTCGTCCTTTCGTTCATTTATAACTAGACATGTATAATAAATGCTGAATAATAAATAGCGTGAATAACAAATAACATATGTAAGGAATAATGCAAATAACAAATATAAATTATTCATACATTCATTTACACGAAATTATTTGAATAAATTTGATATTCATTTAAATAAATTATTTAGATGAAAATAAATTATTTAAACTAACATCGTTATTAGATTGACTTATGAATAAAAGTGTTATTTATAGATTTATTATTTGTTATTATTTCAAATAAGGTTTACCGAAGTCTGTCTACTCGGTCTCTGTAACTTGTTCAGCAATTTAACCGAAAAATTAACTTCTACCTGTGTTGACGAGACTGAGCAGATGACACTCGACTGACAGCACTTTTAAGCTAGCGATTCATTTAATTGGAATTCAATGAAAGTCACCCTCAGATTAATCTCTGATGGCTTCGATTTGCATGACAAGGACTCACCAAAGAGTGCCGTCGCCGCAGAAATTTCAAACTTAATAGCTGTTATCGATTCGGGAGTCGATGGCTCGTCATTAGCTGGATTTTTCAAAAGCTCATAAAGTTTAATGGAATGTGGAAAGATGAATCGATCGCTGGCGTATTCAGGAGAAAGGCTATATATATATTTCGTACAAGTACATGTTGTTTCTGTGAAACAAATTTCAGTCAGATAAATAAAAATACTAAATCTAAAGAAGAATTTTTCTCTGTGCAGCAGGCCAGTCTGCTATGCCACGCTCGTGCAATACAACGCGTGAAAGAAAAAAAGGAAAAAAAAAACAAAAAACGAACACGCGAAGTGTCTCTCTTTCGCTCACCTGTAGATTCTTGAAGCGATGCGAGGCGAATAACGAGCTCAAGAACCTACTCAGGGCGCACTTCCGCGTAGTCTGCGTGATCCCCGCGTTCGTTGCGGCTTCCATCATGGTCTCCCTTCCGGTCGTCGGTCCCATGCCGACTTCTGATCCTCTGGCCATCTAACAAACATTATAACATATACATTATAATATATACATGCATCGATTTATACGGAATATTTCGAAAATAATAAAAAGTAAATACTGGGTCGGTCGAAAAGTTGGATATATTTTTCAATAATTAGTTAATAATTAATTTTCAAACGCGGGTAGATGGCGCGGATGGTGAAACATTGATTCCGCAATTTAATCAAGGAGAAGATCGATCGTAGTATCGAGAATTTTCTGGAAAACGCGAATGATTCGTAGATATTTTCTTCAATGTTGCCAATTTAATCGGGACGAGCCGCGAATAGTCTCGTGTTTCGCTTCGCTCTCGGGTAATTTCGCGACACCGTATCCCCGCGTTGCGACCCAACAATGCGTAAATGTGATTTAACGAAAAACACACACGGTAGCAGCCGAGGTGGTGGTATTTACACGTGATACAATAATCGTTGTTCAGCCCGTTGCCCGATTGTTTGCACCCACGGTTGGGGGTAACCGTGGTGCGGTTTCCGTTGGGATTATAATTCGGTTTGTTTCAAGTGAGAATCGTCGTGAATACGCGAGATACGCACTTTATACCGCATTATTGAGACAGGAAATTATTACAACCGTTTATACACCATTCTTCCCACGTCCCGAGATATTTTCCTTGCCGAAGGAACTCGAGCGAGCCGAGCTATCTATTTACGCGTTCTGCTTTTCTTTCTTTTCTTCCTTTTTGCATTAAAATTCATTTTCACCGATAAAAGTCGCGCGATATTTCGACAAATCTAATGGCGATATATTCACGCTCTCAGCGAGGTCATTTACATATATATATATATATATATGACGACTATTGTCATTAATAATTTATCGTAATCGCCACCTGACGCATGTAAAATAGAAAGGAAGAAGAAGAAGGAGGAGAAAAAAGAGTGCTTGTACTCACCGTAATGATAGAGGGACGCGGCGCTCCGGTGAAGTGCTCGATTACCTCCCAATTGGACTTCTTGATGGGAGTGTGCGGCGTTTTCGGCGTATTCGGGGTGTGAGGCTGCGAGGACGGCGTGGTGGATCTCGAGCCCGGCGCGTCGAACAGTAACTCGACACGGGGCTTGCTACCGTCGTTGCTGCTCACGTGTTGCCTGAGACTGGCCCATCTCCTGGTGCCCCGGCCTCCCGGGACCTCGGCTATTGTCCTGGGCCTGACTTCACCCTGGCGGAACGGAAAGAGGCGACTCATGGTTACGCCGGCGAAATGTCTCTTCGACTCGACGTTAATTAAGCCCGACCTTCTTGGCAAAACATATACCAGCGGCTAATCAGATCTTGTCTCTTTTATCGGAAACTGATGAGCGAGAATAAGTGAGTGAGAGAGAAAGAGAGAGAGAGGGGTCAAAAATTACTTACGACGATATAAGCGAGTTCTTGATGAAATCGTAACGATATTATGTTGATCATCATTCGATCTACCACATTGCGATCATTATCTTAGCGTTTCACCAAAAAAAAGTACTTTTAACCGGGGAATAGTCACCTGGGTCTAAAATGACCCCGGGCGATCGTTTCAATAAAAAAAAATAAGGTGACTATTCCCGGGTTAACATCGAGATCGAGAAGAGAGCGTTATGTCACGATAGAGATCTTGTTATTTACGTTGCTCTCAGTTTTCCTATCTCAGTTACCTATCTCAGTTTTCCTCCAAAATAAAGACGAGCAGAACGGGGGAGAAGGGAGGGGCGGAGAGCGAGCCGCGTCAAAAGAAAGTCGACACCCGTTACGTAAATTTTCGCAACTCCGCTAGGAAATTGCAAAGAGCGGCGGAGGGAATCGTGTTTCGCGCCGCGATATACAACGTCGTGAACAAGCTCCACCTGTCGCGTCAGAATCCCGTCAAGATAAACTTGTTTCTCTGATCTCAAGCGTTTTACATGTCGCTCCTCCCTCCCTTCTCTCTCTCCCTCTCCTTCGTTCTCTCGTTCGCGGACAAAGCAAAATGATTTCGCCGGAGAATCGCTATTTTCTTGTCTTTTGATGTAGATTACATCGCGTATCGCTTCGATCGCAACGTGGTGAACACACTTTCGTTCGATATTATGAAAAGCTGCACAATGGAAAATAACAGAGTTCGCGGAAAACTCGTGCGTGAAATTCTCCTTTTAGCACGTTGGTCGCCACGCTGATTGCTCGAACGAATTTTACATTACCCGAGACACAGCAAATAAATTCAGATATTTGTTAGCTCGTCTGATTGGCTGACTATTGGCCGTGTGTTTCGTTCGTTATGCGCGATTGGTTACATTTGATATGTAAATAAAAGAGACGCTGCAATATTGTTTTCCGGCTGGTTAAAGAAACGCGAGGTCGCCCGGCGTTGTTCTGACTGGAATAAAAGGTAAAACACGCGAGAAAGAGGGAGACGCTGAGAGACGGTAAACTCCTCCGCCTTCTCCCGTAATGTGAGATTACGACGTCGTTCTAACCGAGTAGTTAAGCTGATCAGATCGCGGGGATCCGACGTGGAATTCCAAGCGCCATACCGAAAAAAAACGAATGAACGAGGTACGCCGTCTCGATATACGAAGTTCTCCTCCGACACCTTCGCGGGCACGAGATGATAAAACGAAATGCGCTAATGGACGTTCGTTGTCTCTTGACGACGCTGAATGAAAATGGCTGAACACGCATTTGGCGCCGTATGCCTCACGTTTTGCGTCGACGTGGCCTTAACATATGCGTGCGATCTGCGCGAGGGGTTGATAACACACCACCTGGCACGTTGTTATCCCGTCGAATATATATATATATATATACATATATATATATATAATTGTAATCTTTTTATTTTAAATGTGTATTGCATTACCAATTGTTTTATTATATAAATAAAGTCGAGATAATTTTGTATAAAAATATATTTTACACTAAACGAAATTATATATATTTCTGTATTATTATTGTTTTTTTATATTCTAAAAACGTTTTTATGATATGCGAAAAATATCAGATGAAATTAAGGCCAAAAGTGATTGTTTTAGTGAAATTTTTCTTAGTGTATATTTATTTCGTAGAAAAAAAACTGTTATTATTGCACCTCATTTTAATGACGATTTTAACAATTATAGCGCGCACGCTCGTTATGTGTGCGTGTATAAAGTAACGTTGTTTCCTCCAAATATATTTAATGGCGTTAATATGAATGCATAGTAATATCAGCTTAATTGAAAGTATACACATAGTTACACGGCCGAATGTTTTATCTGCGTTTCGCCGTGCAATTATCAATGCTGACGGATACGGTGAAATAAAGTAATTACGTCCGGCGGATTAATGCCGTGCAGGCGCGCGCATTTGTTCAATTCGTTCTTCTCTACAACTGATATTTCATGATGACGTGTAAAAGCGGCCCGCCCGCGTCAAGCGACGGCCATACCCATATCGCGCAACTGCATAAATGATTAGTCGACGAGAAACTCGTTTATGAATAATGCAGCCGAGGACGCAAGTTTTCCGAAGTTTCGGGCGAGTCAGCGCGCAGTTACGTACACGAGAATGTAACTCATGAGGTTCCTCACTTTTTCATACTATGGGGTATCCTCATTCGGAACGTTTCGTTTCTTAGGTGATCTTTCGGAGTTTTTCTTTTTCCTTTATTTTTTCCTTTTTTTTGACAAAATTATTCAAGATAACGAAACGTATCGAAATTACCTGGTTAAAATACGGATAAATACATTTTGTACAAAACTTCTGAATTTTATGCTCTATAATGTTTTCCAAGGAAAAAAAATGTTTGAAAATCACGCGGAGGAAAAGTGCTGGATTCGAGTAAATAATTACTCCGATATTTATTTACGACGTTTGAAGCGGAAATACACCCCTTTAAATGAGGAATATGTTCTCCCGATTGCGCATGCGTGCTCCGCATTCTCTCGTCTCGCGGGACGTGCGGGCGACGAAACGATTTACCTCGTGCGTCCTTCGACTACCGCGAAGGCTCAGCCTGTGACTCCACTCCCGCTTCGGGAAATCCACGCCGTATTTCTCCATGTCGCCGAGACCGTTGTTTTCAGACGCTGCTGGTTGGAGAGGAGCGGGGCCGACGGTGCCGTCGTTCGCCGCTAATTCATGTTTCTCCTGCAAACAGAAAGAAAACGCCCCCGGTAACGATATCTTTCCCTTCTCGGGCGCGTCCTCGCTATTGGCCGTCGCTCCGGATAATTAAACAGCGAGTGCTCCCGATCCTTTGTCTTAAATTAATTAATTAATAACGCGATGCGCAGGTATAACGTCGTCGTCCGTAACCCCCGCATTACGAGTGAAGCTTTTACAAGGCTGCTAAATAACAGTTTCACCGGAGGGAAAAGTTGAAAATTTTCAAAGAACCTCGCCCACAAATTCCACGGATGTCTTTTACGGCTACCAACGGGACCAGCTTAACCAAAATGTAAGATTATTGTTGGAGGATCAAATTATCCCACAATTCTTTAAAGGTCCGTCCCTTTCTCCACCCTGTGACGTCGAGAAAATCGCTTTTTTTTCTTCGTATAATTTTGAAGCCTCAAGCGTGTAGATTGTTGCGTCAAAGTTATAAAGTCGAGTTCGGAAAATTGGTGGAGTTACAGACAATTTTAATGACACCGCACTGCACATGCAGGCAGCGCTATTTCATTCTATCATTCTCCCTCTCTCTCTCTCTCTCACACACACATACAAAACTTCGATACAATCAAATTATTTTTAATTTTACACGTATGTAGATTATGTCTCGATTAATATATTGTTAAAATTCGAATAAGATCTCCAAGGAAACCAATTTACGAGCCGACTACCTTAAAATTCGCTGAGACAAGCACTGTCCGTCTATCGGCTCTCGACGAAGGTTAATTCGTGCGATCGCGTATGCGCAAACTTGCGACAGCAATCTGCTCTCCCGCAGGCGACATAATCATTACGCGGGTAATACGTCGGCCGTCGTGAGGGCCTTGCCTCGTTTCTCGCGCCTCGGGACGATTTTATTCGCGTCCAGTCTTGCGGACCGCGCGAGAAAACTTGCCCGGCACTTAAACGGAGTTCGTAGCACCCCGTATCGCGTGTCTAGACACATAATTCCACAAGCGGTCTTTCTCTCTTTCTCTCTCTCTCTCTCTCTCTCTCCCCCTTTTTCTCTCTATTCTTATGTACAAGTTTTTGTATATCTTGATATTTTTTCTTAAGTAATATTGCCTCTAACAAATCCGACTTTCCGATTAGAAAAACATCTTCATATCCGGATTCTAACGGCCGTCCTAGCTTTTTTCGTGTTAGGTGTACAAATTAATTCGGGGTCTTTTTTTTTTTCCGAATGCGGCGACATCGCTCGTAAACAATATTGGTGTACGCGAGTGTGAATAATTGAGGTTGTCCGTACGTACGCGCGGACGATGCGACGCGCAATTATCGCGTGCTCGCGTCGACGCGGGGTTCTCGCGTTACTTGTAACGCGGCAGGCAGGTATGCCCGCGAGTGCCGTCGTCTCGTGTCTCGTGCCGCGACAATCGATGCGCGCATTAATCTCGTCTCGGCTTGCAATTTATCAACAACGCGGGCTTCGTTGTCACCGAAGCCTCGTGTAGTCACCGAGTACGATCGTTTCAACCGCAGCGTCGCGCCGCCCAGTTCGTGATAACGTTGATTACGCGCTCCTCCTCGTCGCAGAAGTGCGCGTGATTATTAATGCCAGCCGATGCTACAAAGTATCGATTGGAGTTGAGCGATATAGTATCGATACATTGAGAAATCAGGATTTTGTGCAGGCAATTTGTGGAGGGAAAACCCTTATTTCCCTATGTATCGATACTCATTCATTCATTCTTTCTCTCTCTCTCTCTCTCTCATCCTAACGAGCGACGTGATTGAAGCAGTCGATGTGTAATGCATGCGAAACTTGCGAGATGCGCGTAAGCGACGCAATGTACGTTAATTTATTCCGCAGAGATTTCGCGGTCTACCGGATTAGACCGGAATGATAAGACGAGCCGACACGTTTGCGCCCACCATGTTGCCGCTCGGCGATTTAACGCGTACATGGAGGGACATGCGCTCGCGACGCGCGCCCGTGATGCGAGCTGACGTCTCCGCGCGGCCCAATCATAATTATTATTCACGAGCTCAATTAGTGTGTCACGTCGTTAACGAGGTTGGTCACTCTGGCAGCCGGCACTGCAGCTTCGATTTAAACAATGTCGCGCCGAGGCGTCCCACGCGCCGCCGCTCTGATAATTAATTAATTATTTCGACGTCAGGGCTGCCATCCCCCGTAAACGCGTAATATTATTCAATATTAAGTGATATGCCGGGCGTATTCTTAGAATATTCGACGTAATATTCGATGTTCTGGTAATATTATTTAATATTAGGTAATGTTTCTGGAATATTGATAGGTGATGTTATATGTCCACCCCTGATAATATTAAAAATCATATTATTTAACGTTGCTGCAATATTAGATATCTTTTAAATATTCAACTCTATGCATATAATCTGTGTAATGTAGTTTGTGTCAACAAATCAGCGACAAAAATGGGAACGCGGGAGAGAGGAAAAAGGGTTCTGTTGCGGGGCGGGCATCGCGTGCGCATCGGACGTTGGAAACTGGCGCGGCGAGTTTAGCATCTCGGGAGGTTCGGCTGAGGCCGAGCTTTCACGTAACGTGTAATTTAGCGGGATACCGGCATTACACACACGGCGGATATGCAGGCGAAGGAAACGCTGAAATCGCAGCCTTTCGACTCGGCCGATAGATAAAACTCGCCGTTTCTCGGCCGCCGGCAGAAGCCCGCCGCTGAGCTTGCGCTAGTTCCGCGCTCGCGTTTATCATAATCGCGGCGCCTTTATCTGCGAGCGGGTTAAGCGGAGCGGATCTGACGTGTCCGCCTTTGCGGGCACGAACCTGCGCCTCGATTAAGGATCAACATCACCGGCAACGGTTGCTGAACGCTCCGCGCTTTCACGCTCGCGATTACGCTTTACCGACGCGATAACAACGTTTCGCACGCACGCCGTTTATTTCCGTATTATTTCCGTCCCGCCACGTTCCGGTCCGCATGAGGGAGATCCCACGTAAGCAGGGTGAATCTTCAGAGTCTCGGTGTGTAATTCGGCCATTTGGAAAGTAACTCGCGATATTTCCTGTGCGAATCGATCAACAATTCCCACGGGCATCGCCATCGCAGTTACGACCGTAAAGCAACCCGCATCTCTTCCCGATCATTAACATCCGTCATCCCCCCCGCATCGACCGTAACTTCTACCTACACTGAGAAACCTCATTTAGTTGGCTCAAACCAAATTCTCATTTGGATATAGGCAAACAAATATTTCGTCTGCACCGAAGCTTAGTTGTCTGAAAGTAAAAGTTTGGTTCTCCGGCGAACGAAAACGGCAGAGGTTCGTTTCAGAGGACGAAATTTCGGTTCTTCATAACCGAAACACTCGTTCGCCGGCGACCAAACAAGCATTTCATTCGAATCATCCTGATTAGATATTTCCCAGTGCGGGCGAAAGCCTGGAGTCTTCGATTTCGAAGTTCCACACCTGGTTTCGCCTGGTCCGAGGGATGAAGAGGGAAGAGTTCGCGCGCGTGCTCTGAAATGAACAATTCAAACTTTCGTCATAAGTCGATAACACGCTTACGAGTGTGAGTGAACGACCCATGGAGTCACATGGAGGGACCGAGAGTGGAGAGGCTTATAAATAAATGCCGGGCGCGCGTCTGTATGCGTGTCTACGGATCGATTATCATGCTGAAGCGACTTGAATGCCGGGTCCTGTCGTTGACGAGCGAGCGGCCAGCGCAAATTCGGCCGGCGCTTCGATCACGCACAAGCGACGACGATGAAATATTAAAAAAAAAAAAGAAAAAAAAACATTCGATATAGCCCGTAGCATCACGCACGCAGCAGCCCCCCTCCCTCTTTCTCGCCGATCGATACGCCGGCCATTATCAGCCGAAAATTTTATCCGATTTTTTCTCGCGCTCGTGACACTCCTTCAAGTGACGAGAAAATTGTCCGCTCGTCTGCTTCGCAGTTTGTACAAATAAAAATTACCCAGATTAAAATAGATCGAAAACAATAGAGGTTGTCCAAAACTAGATACTTTAACATTCTTTTTTTTTAGAATTAGATTGCGATAACTTTTGCCGAAGTTACAGCCAGCTTGAATCTTGTTTGTTCTTTTGATGAAGTATCAAATGTTCCCTTAATTGTTGTGAATAGTGTTTGTATGAATTCAGGAATAGAATAAAGATTACTCTGTTTCATTTGTACCGCTTATATAGAATTCTCTCTCCCTCTCTCTTTCTCTCTTTCCCTCTCCCTTCACTCCCCCCCTTTCTCTCTCTCGCCGATCGATACGCCGGCCATTATCAGTCGCACGCGTTTATACTCGTGCGCGTTATTTACGGCATATGCGTAATGTATGCAGATATAAACGGACTATCGGTCCGCAATCGAAGGCTCGCCGAAAATCGACCGTCGATATGGGGATTGATTGGCAGCGTCAGTGGGATGATATTTTATTCGCGCGCTCGCGCGTGGACGCCGAATGTCAGCGGATGTGACGTGGGCGCGCGCAAAGCGGATTTCGCGAGATCCGGCGAGTTCTCTCGTCGAGCTTTCAATCGCGTTTAAGTGTAACGTTCCGAATTGTTTCGATCGTCGATTATTATTATTTCCCCCCACCATCGTTTCGTATCGCCGAGTCCGGCACGTTTCACGCATGGAGAAAACAAATTCTGCCGGCGAACAGCGAATGTTCGTCGATGTAGTGACAGCGGAAGGAAAAGATTTGCTTAGACAGAAAGTGTGTTTGGACAGCGGAAAGATATGTTGAGCGTATTAATTGCTATTCGCTGGATGTGTATGGACGAGTACTAATCAACAAGTCTTTCCCGCTGTCCAAAGAAATTTTTCGCGGTCCGAGCAAATTTTCCTCCGTCGTCCACTACATCGGCAAAGGTTTGCTGTTCTAAAGCAAAATTTGTCTTCTCTATGGCCCCGTTTTCCGGGCTTACCCTCGCTCAAATTACCGATTCCTCGTCATTAATTAGCCGCCTTTGTTCCGCAATTCCATCTATCTCTGTTATCCGTATTGCA